GCCCCGCCCCTCGTGACGTCAAAATGACGTGGGCGTTTTTTCATGGGGGTAAATATCCGGGGGTAGAATTCCGGCGACCCGACTTTTGTTTCGTCCATTCAATAAATTGCTAGTATGTACAATTTCATACCTTTGTTTCGATTTTGGTGGCAAAAGATAGCACAAACAGTGTCCATCTCGTCAAATTCACTTTCACTAACTGACATTTTTAAATCTGTTTAATCTATCTTCCTTTAACTTCCACCAACTTACGTTAAGAATTCGTGAGTATCAACAGGAACAAGTCGGATCAACAATTAAAATTGTCAACTGATCAGCTGACCAGCTGATTAGTTGACGTTCGAAGCATTACAATTTTACTTCTTTTTCTCAATCCTTGAACCTTATTGGTCCGTTAGCCGTGTTGTTATGAGAAAAACTATGCTGTTATGAAATGAAACTATGCTGATATGAAAGTAAACAACTGTTAAGTGCAACTTTTCAATTCTAAGAACTGAACTGAAATGGCTACTTAAAAAAAAACTGTCATAAGTAAAAATGTTAATGTGAGAAATAAATAGGTCTATATGCCTTATAACGCGACCAACAGCTCAAGTATGACACGTTTGTTGATATGTTTCTGCTTATATCCGCCTTTGTCAAACCATTGCAGTTGGATACAGAAATCTTTGACATTTACCATTTACTAAACATACACACACACATATATGGACGGGACAAAGGACATTTACGAATAAAAACTAGTAATAGGCCTATTACCTAATGCATTGTAAATTGTAACCATAATTAATTATTATTATTTAATTAAAACTATTTATATGCACTGTTTTATTACTCATTTTTTTATTTTTTATTTTTTTATTTATTTTTTTTTATTTCAACGGACATTCCATTTTGTTTGATGTGGTACTAAAGATACATCGTACAGTTCAAGATGACTAATATTAAATAACAAATGTGGACTTTTGACACTTAGACATAGGTAACAAAACTAATAACAATAATATAGTAATTAACAACAATAATGTAGTAATTAACAACAATAATGTAGTAATTAACAACAATAAATTATAGCAAAAACATAACAAAGACGATCGTATTATATAATAACCATAAATAACAAGGAAAACAGGCATGTTTGGGAGAATAAATATTAGCTTAAATAAGTATAAACATTACACCAAAGGTACATCTGTTATGAAAAAATTGCCTCTGAGGTGTCCACATTATTTCAACCCTAAGCCAATTCATTATTTTATTTTTTTATATAGCTGTAAGCTGTATAAGCTGCTTGATTGAAGTAGAATGAACTTAATGAGTTTTTTCTGACAAATATTAACAAAAGCGAACATAAAACTTCAACCTTAGTTTACTCAAAACTCACATTTCAGACTGAGTCCATTTTCCCACCCTACTCCGTTTTCTTTCGGTCACATTAAAATATCAATTAGCTACGGACCTGGAAGGAGCTACAAACACAATATTTAACGACAGTCCTTGTAAAGGCTGAATGAATACTTCAGTAGAAGAGATTGCGCCAGGCTGGCAGGGAGCTCTGGGTCTATAGACTACATACTTTTAAAAAGGAATGCACGCCACACAAAAACCTTAAAAGATATGTTTTTATCAAATGTCAAATGTAGCCTTAACATTTTTTTTGTGTATTTTAGATATTTAAAGTTTTTTTTGGACGCAGAGTGAACGATTTAAACATTGAAATGTATTTTAAATAAAAAGTTTAATGCCAATTCGGTGTGGTGTTTTGAAATTTGTGCAAAACGTACATACAACAAAAATTGTTTAACTAACGTTGTTAATATTTGCGACAGTATAGTTCATTTTAATTTCATTGGCCATATAAAAAGTAATAATTTTTTATATAAAACTACTTAAGCTATTGTCCGTCACATCTGAAAACATTAATTCAAGGTGTTAATAATAGTACGAGGTGACTGAGGTAATTAAGGGAGACTTTACTATGTACATTTAGAATTTAGTTATGTACAAAAACTATTAAGAAATCTGCTACAATATATCGGATATTTATAGTTAATGGTAAATAGTACTTTCGAATAGAACCAAACACTGGGTTCTTTGTTTGGAGTACATTGTTGGTGATAGTGAGTTAATATTGTAGAACATTTTCCACCACAATGTTAAATTAAACCAGTATTTTTAACTGTAATTAACCTGCATTTTTTGTTAAAAAAAATTATTTTACCATTGTGATAGAAAATGAAGCAATAAGCCTTTAAAAACATCGGGTAGTACTCTACGATTATCATTACCGTACTAAGTACTGCATTTAATGGCCAGTTTGGCAAAATTACCCGAAATACGAAGATCCAACGACATTGTCACCGATCGTTCTTAGTTTAGCGTAGGATTGCAGGGCAGGTCCGTGAAGTTGGCGTACCCATATTAGCGTATCCACTTTTGATCATACCAATCGTTAGTTCATCGTTAGTTCTTGATAGTTCCCAAATTTTTTCGTTAGTTCTCAAAAAATAAAAAAGTTATAGCCGATAATAAGTGGGTACGCTAACTTCACACTTCCGGGTTCTAGCACACGCCGTTTCCTGATGAGAAATGTTTACATCTATATATCAATCGTTAGTTCTTCGTTAGTTCTCGATAGTTCTCCAATATTAACGTTAGTTCTCAAAAAATAAAAAAGTTACGAGGCATACAAAGTGGGTACGCCAACTTCACAATTATAGAATTTCCAGCGGGCACACTTTTTTGAATAAAAATGCTTACATCTATATACCAATCGTTAGTTCTTCGTTAGTTTTCGATAGTTCTCCAATATTAACGTTGGTTCTCAAAAAATAAATAAGTTACGAGGCATACAAAGTGGGTACGCCAACTTCACAATTATAGAATTTCCAGCGGGCACACTTTTTTTAATAAAAATGCTTACATCTATATACCAATCGTTAGTTCTTGGTTAGTACTCGATAGTTCTCCAATATTAACGTTGGTTCTCAAAAAATAAATAAGTTACGAGGCATACAAAGTGGGTACGCCAACTTCACAATTATAGAATTTCCAGCGGGCACAATTTTTTGAATAAAAATGCTTACATCTATATACCAATCGTTAGTTCTTCGTTAGTTCTCGATAGTTCTCCAATATTAACGTTAGTTCTCAAAAAATAAAAAAGTTACGAGACATACAAAGTGTACGCTAACTTCACAATTATAGAATTTCCAGCGGGCACCGTTTTCTGACTAAAATGTTTATATCTATATGTCAATCGTTAGTTCTTCGTTAGTTCTCGATAGTTCTCCAATATTAACGTTAGTTCTCAAAAAATAAAAAAGTTACGAGGCATACAAAGTGGTTACGCCAACTTCAAAATTATAGAATTTCCAGCGGGCACACTTTTTTGAATAAAAATGCTTACATCTATATACCAATCGTTAGTTCTTCGTTAGTTCTCGATAGTTCTCCAATATTAACGTTAGTTCTCAAAAAATAAAAAAGTTACGAGGCATACAAAGTGGGTACGCCAACTTTACAGTTATACAATTTCCAGCGGGCACCGTTTTTTGAATAAAAATGCTATATACCAATCGTTAGTTCTTTGTTAGTTCTCGATAGTTTTTCAATATTTACGTTAGTTCTCAAAAATAAAAAAAAGTTACGAGTCATACAAAGTGGGTACGCAAACTTCACAATCATACAATTTCCAGCGGGCACAGTTTTCTGACTATAAATGCTTATATCTATATACCTAGTTCTTCGTTAGTTCTCGATTTTTCTCAAAAACGTACCCTCAACTATTCTTTCAAACATTCACAGCATCGTTCTTAAACAGTTTCAAACTACGTTCAAAATTAAAAGTGTTAGGTTATTAATATATACCGAGAATAAATATTGTTATCTTATGATAAATTAGTTATAATAAAATATTAATTGAAATTTAGTTTAATGATTTGAAAAAGGGGATTTTATTCAAGTTCCATGCCTTTCGCCGGCTCCAGACTGTACACACGCCAAGTACAGAACAGCAACTCGCCGAATCACGAGTAGTATGACAGCAAATGCTCGTGCTCGTGTTTTCCGTTCATTGACGGTATTTTTGCACACATCAAAGTGAAGGAATATTTTTGCCATTCTCGAAACGAACAGTTGGTGGGAAAACAACACATGTGTGTAGACACATGTAGATATAGATATAAGCATTTATAGTCAGAAAACTGTGCCCGCTGGAAATTGTATAACTGTAAAGTTTGCGTACCCACTTTTTATGCCTCGTAACTTTTTTATTTTTTTAGAACGAACGTTAATATTGGAGAACTATCGAGAACTAACGAAGAACTAACGATTGGTATATAGATATAAGCATTTTTATTAAAAAAAGTGTGCCCGCTGGAAATTCTATAATTGTGAAGTTGGCGTACCCACTTTGTATGCCTCGTAACTTTTTTATTTTTTGAGAACTAACGTTAATATTGGAGAACTATCGAGAACTAACGAAGAACTAACGATTGGTATATAGGTGTAAGCATTTTTATTCAAAAAAGTGTGCCCGCTGGAAATTCTATAATTGTGAAGTTGGCGTACCCACTTTGTATGCCTCGTAACTTTTTTATTTTTTGAGAACTAACGTTAATATTGGAGAACTATCGAGAACTAACGAAGAACTAACGATTGATATATAGATGTAAACATTTCTCATCAGGAAACGGCGTGCGCTAGAACCCGGAAGTGTGAAGTTAGCGTACCCACTTATTATCAGCTATAACTTTTTTATTTTTTGAGAACTAACAACAAAATTTGGGAACTATCGAGAACTAACGATGAACCAACGATTGGAATGATCAAAAGTGGATACGCTAATATGGGTACGCCAACTTCACGGACCTTGTAACGAGCCAATTTTTTTCACGAAAAGAAAAACAAAACAATTTACATCCCCATTTGTTTCTATGTTAACTTAGGAACCGATCAGCTCTCCATGACAGCTGGGTTGCAACTGAGCAAAAACGCACCTCTGCGCATGCGCGACTTTCCCCCTCCAGGAGGACCAGATTTTCGCATAAAACCGCGGCAGCTGGGGACCTCAGTCTCAGTCGCTCCCGGGCAGTCGACAAGGAAACATCATTGGAGGTAATATTGCTAGAGAAATCCGAGCAACCTTTCCTATTGCTAGAGAAATCCAAGCAATCCGTCCCTATTGCTAGAGAAATCCAAGCAATCAGTCCCTATTGCTAGAGAAATCCGAGCAATCCGTCCTTATTGCTAGAGAAATCCGAGCAATCCGTCCTTATTGCTAGAGAAATCCAAGCAATCCGTCCCTATTGCTAGAGAAATCCAAGCAATCCGTCCTTATTGCTAGAGAAATCCAAGCAATCCGTCCTTATTGCTAGAGAAATCCAAGCAATCCGTCCTTATTGCTAGAGAAATCCAAGCAATCCGTTCCTATTGCTAGAGAAATCCGAGCAATCCGTCCTTATTGCTAGAGCAATCCGAGCAATCCGTCCTTATTGCTAGAGAAATCCAAGCATTCCGTCCCTATTGCTAGAGCAATCCAAGCAATCCGTCCTTATTGCTAGATAAATCCAAGCAATCCGTCCTTATTGCTAGAGCAATCCGAGCAATCCTTTCTTATTGCTAGAGCAATCCGAGCAATCCGTCCTTATTGCTAGAGCAATCCGAGCAATCCGTCCTTATTGCTAGAGCAATCAGAGCAATCCTTCCTTATTGCTAGAGCAATCCGAGCAATCCGTCCTTATTGCTAGAGCAATCCGAGCAATCCGTCCTAACTGCTAGAGCAATCCGAGCAATCCGTCCTTATTGCTAGAGAAATCCGAGCAATCCGTCCTTATTGCTAGAGCAATCCGAGCAATCCGTCCTTATTGCTAGAGCAATCCGAGCAATCCGTTCCTGAGTGCTAGAGAAATCCGAGCAACCCGTCCCACGTGCTAGAGAAATCCCAGCAATCCAAGTTTATCCCTTGGCTGTGATGAGTCAGGGCCATTTGGGAATCTTGTGATTCATTGCCAATATTCTGAGCCAATTCCAACTCCTTTTAACATCGACCCCTGGAATCAAAAACCCAGCTACGACTTTGCTATCAAGGACAAGTGTGCAAGCTGCAAATACGCTCCGTTCCGAAAATTCGTCACACATTTTGGCGCCCGAACAGGGACTCCGTGAGTCATCGATTCGTCGAAAAAGAATATCGAAAATACCTTGGAAAACAATTCGAATCTCTCGTTGGAAATGATGAAAGACAAATTGAACAACAATGATTTTCCTCCGCTCACTGCAAAGGAATCCACGGCTGACATCTTAGCGGCAGTCTTTTCCCCCGGAAAAAAACAATGAAGTAACCCAAGTTGAAACCTCAACTACTCAGGGGATTCCTGCCACTCTTAGCCAGGCTAGTCAACAGGACCAGCGTGTAAGTAGGGTATATCAATTTTCAAAGTCTCAAATTCAAGCTGAGCTGGAATCACGAAATTTAGACGCAAGTGGGAAGATGCAAGAGTTAAGAAGTCGCCTCGTCGAGCACATTCGAACTCCTGGTGTTACTCCAACGACGGAGAAAAATCAGTTACTTTTCCCCCCAGTGGACACGGTTGAAGGGGGGGCTTCAAACTCAAATCTGGACTCCAGCCTACTCAACAATACCATGATGATCGTTGGTTTACCCCCAAATTCTGAGGTCAACACCTTAAGAATGAGGCTCGCAGACCTCGCTGAGAAAGAAAGGTTTGTTCAGAAGGCATCAACATCCAACGCCTTTCCCGAACTACAAAGATTTGTCAAGGAAAGATCACCGCAAGAGTTGAAAATAAACCATCCTCCGTTTCCGGTGAAATTGAATTCAAACAACCAACCTCCCACGGATACGGCTAGTCTCTGCAATCAAGTAAGAAAGTGGAACATTCCTTTCGATGGATACACGGACCCCGTCTCATTTATGGAACGACTAAATGAACTAGTGGAGGCTTACGATATACCCCTAAATCGCATACTACAAGCGATGCCAGAAATCTTCAAAGGGAATGCCCTCCTCTGGTGGCGAAACAACAAGGAATTCTGCAGAAATTTCACTGAGTTTCAACGAGAATTTGAATTGCAGTTCCTACCTCCTCGCTATTACAAGAATTTAGATCAAGAAATACAGGATAGGACTCAAGGAGAACGAGAGACTTGTCGCCAATACGTTGTTGCAATCATCACTCTAATTCGTCGTCGAGGGGGTTATACTGAAGAAGACAAATTAGAAAAGATTTATGGGAACCTAAAACCTGAATATAAGCTGTATATTCCCCGTCAAAACGTCAAGACCGTCTCTGAACTAATCGCTCGAGCTGAGGAATACGAGGCAGTACTTCGATGTAGAGCAACGTATCGACCACCTCCTGCTCCTGCTCAATCACTGACGCCTGAAACAGCATATCAGTCCAAAGGAAGAAGAAGATCGGAATCATATGAAGCCTTTAATCTCGAAAACCCCCTTCCAGTGCAAGACTGAAGAAAAAAGGAAAAAAACAAAAAAAATAGTATTAAGTTTTAAACGAAAATGTCTGTTAAGTTAAGAAAAGTCAAAAGTTTTTATTTTCGTAAAACCGAAAGGTGTTTGTATAGATATTTAGATTTAGGTTTTCTTTAAAGTTTTTTTTTTTATCTTTGTGAAACAAGGTTGTGATTTTTTCGTTTGTTATTCTCTTTTAGAATAGAATTTTTGTACGAGTTTTAGTTTTGTTAAGAAAAGAAAAATTGTTTTGTTTGAAAAAATAAAGTTGTTATTTTGTTTTAAATTGTTTTGTTTTTCTTTTCGTGAAGAAAGTGGTGAGTGTAACGAGCCAATTTTTTTCAAGATACTTTTCACCTTCCTCCTTAAACCTTACGACTCTTTTCCGCCGTCCCCAATCAACTTCCGCCGCACCACACCACCTTCCGCCATGACCTCCGCCCATCTCCTTACCTTACGTCTCCTTTCCGCCGCTCCAATCAATGTCCGTCGCCCTACGTCGCTTTCCGCTGCCCTACCGATCCTTCCGCCACGACCTCCGCCCATCTCCCTACCTCACGTCTCCTTTCCGCCGCCCCTAGTCAACCTCCGCCGCCCTACCTCGCCTTCCGCCGCCCTACTGATCCTTCCGTCACGATCTCCGCCCATCTCCTTACCTTACGTCTCCTTTCCGCCGCTCCAATCAACTTCCGCCGCCTTACATCGCCTTCCGCTGCCCTACCGATCCTTCCGCCACGATCTCCGCCCATCTCCCTACCTCACGTCTCCTTTCCGCCACCCCTAGTCAACTTCCGCCGCCTCACCTCGTCTTCCGCTGCCCTACTTATCCTTCCGCCATGACCTCCGCCAATATCCTTACCCTACGTCTCCTTTCCGCCGCTCCAATCAACTTCCGCCGCCCTACATCGCTTTCCGCTGCCCTACCGATCCTTCCGCCACGACCTCCGCCCATCTCCCTACCTCACGTCTCCTTTCCGCCGCCACTAGTCAACTTCCGCCGCCTCACCTCGTCTTCCGCTGCCCTACTTATCCTTCCGCCATGACCTCCGCCAATATCCTTACCCTACGTCTCCTTTCCGCCGCTCCAATCAACTTCCGCTGCCCTACATCGCTTTCCGCTGCCCTACCGATCCTTCCGCCACGACCTCCGCCCATCTCCCTACCTCACGTCTCCTTTCCGCCGCCGCTAGTCAACTTCCGCCACCCCGCATCACATTCCGCTGTCCTACCTATCCTTCCGCCACGACTTCCGCCAATATCCTTACCCTACGACTCTTTTCCGGCGCCCAAGAGCACCTTCCGCCGCTCCACGTCTCCTTCCGCCACCCGAAACCATCGATACCAATACCATTATGCCAGTTCCTGATCCTATCCGCCGAACCTAACCTCAATTTACATCCCCATTTGTTTCTATGTTAACTTAGGAACCGATCAGCTCTCCATGACAGCTGGGTTGCAACTGAGCAAAAACGCACCTCTGCGCATGCGCGACTTTCCCCCTCCAGGAGGACCAGATTTTCGCATAAAACCGCGGCAGCTGGGGACCTCAGTCTCAGTCGCTCCCGGGCAGTCGACAAGGAAACATCATTGGAGGTAATATTGCTAGAGAAATCCGAGCAACCTTTCCTATTGCTAGAGAAATCCAAGCAATCCGTCCCTATTGCTAGAGAAATCCAAGCAATCAGTCCCTATTGCTAGAGAAATCCGAGCAATCCGTCCTTATTGCTAGAGAAATCCGAGCAATCCGTCCTTATTGCTAGAGAAATCCAAGCAATCCGTCCCTATTGCTAGAGAAATCCAAGCAATCCGTCCTTATTGCTAGAGAAATCCAAGCAATCCGTCCTTATTGCTAGAGAAATCCAAGCAATCCGTCCTTATTGCTAGAGAAATCCAAGCAATCCGTTCCTATTGCTAGAGAAATCCGAGCAATCCGTCCTTATTGCTAGAGCAATCCGAGCAATCCGTCCTTATTGCTAGAGAAATCCAAGCATTCCGTCCCTATTGCTAGAGCAATCCAAGCAATCCGTCCTTATTGCTAGAGAAATCCAAGCAATCCGTCCTTATTGCTAGAGCAATCCGAGCAATCCGTCCTTATTGCTAGAGCAATCCGAGCAATCCGTCCTTATTGCTAGAGCAATCCGAGCAATCCGTCCTTATTGCTAGAGCAATCAGAGCAATCCTTCCTTATTGCTAGAGCAATCCGAGCAATCCGTCCTTATTGCTAGAGCAATCCGAGCAATCCGTTCCTGAGTGCTAGAGAAATCCGAGCAACCCGTCCCACGTGCTAGAGAAATCCCAGCAATCCAAGTTTATCCTTTGGCTGTGATGAGTCAGGGCCATTTGGGAATCTTGTGATTCATTGCCAATATTCTGAGCCAATTCCAACTCCTTTTAACATCGACCCCTGGAATCAAAAACCCAGCTACGACTTTGCTATCAAGGACAAGTGTGCAAGCTGCAAATACGCTCCGTTCCGAAAATTCGTCACAACCTTTGCAGGGCATACGCCAAGAGTTTAACCTTTTGGACTATAAATCCCATTCTAAACGAATAT